TATATATCTATATATAATCTATTTTTATATATTTCAAGAGTGGTGAAAAATAGAACTCAGGGCGGTAGCGTACGGTAAGGTGAAAACTGAATAACTGAATGATATATCCTAGTGCCCTAACAGTTTCTGTCTTTATGTTAACATCTGTCTTAGTAATTCAGCAAAAGCAACAGATGTGAGTGACATATTTTTTTTTTATACTGAAGTTTCAGGCGAAAACGAAATATAGGGCTATTAAGTTAATGGCATTATACTCGTAATGTTGCACGTAAACGTTTTATAGTATATAGGGGCAGCCTTTTAACCCTTATTATTTTACCGTTTTTCAGTTTATTACCATTTGCTGGTTTATTTGGTAGGTGTGACCTATTATAGACGTTATTTATCTTGCCTATCTTCCAATCCTTTCGAACTGAAAAAAGATTTCGTTGTGGCTGTTGGTTCATTGTGGAATTCTTGTTTCAAAATGTGCAAACAGCTTCCAAAAATATTGCAATATGGTGTCATTGCTGGATTAATCCTTATGAATCTTCCCATCGGGATACCTTGGTATTATGGCAATCTCTCTACCTACGTCGATTCTTATTTTATCGCCAAAGTTGGGATGAGCGAGCATTCTTCTGGCTCAATGTGGCTCATGGGTGTGTTTATGACGGGTGTGACTTTAGGAATCGTTCTCTCGGGAGCATGTGCACGAGCAATAGGGCATCGGTTCACAGTTTTCATAGGTATAATAGGCTTCAACGCTTCCTTAAGTTCGACTTACTTTGCATCTCTACATTCTTTCTGGTTACTGCACATGACTCTCGGGGTGTGTGGGGGATTCTTCTGCGGCTTGGTATACGCCATGTCGACGCTATACGCTGCCGTGTGGTTTCCCAACGCTGTTGGGATAGCCACTTCTGTCGCTGCCAGTTCTTTCGGAGGAGGAAGCCTAGTCATGAATGTGTTAATTACGATGTTTGTCAATCCAAATAATAAAACTCCTGACATCTTATTGGGAACAGGCAAGTACTTCTCTGACGAGGATATCGTGTCAAAAGTACCCAGTGTGTTCCTGTTGCTGGCCGCGGTGTCTCTAGGATGCCATATAATCGCTTTCTTCTTTCTCAGAGATCATCCGGATTTTGCTCTGCTCCGCAGTCAAAAGAAACTCAAAGATTGTCACAAACCCCAGATAGATGAATCTGCCCAGAATACCTGTAAAGACAATGAATATCAAGAGGAAGACTTCAAAGAGAGCTGCTCTGGTCCTTCTTCTAGTCCCAAGTATGGTGCAACAAGAGACAAAGCGAAGTTACACGACTTATCAAAGGAGCGACAAAATTCCAAAATATCTTTCCAGGATTACACTCCCTTTGAAGTGCTGAACACACAATGCTTCTATCAACTAGCTGTTACTGCAATGTTTCTGATGTACGGATTTCAAGTGGAGATAAATTATTACAAACAATTTGGACTTCTATATATAGACGATGACTACTTTTTGACCATTGTTGGGACTTGCATCAACATTACAGTGCTTATCACAAGGATAGTGTGGGGGTTCGCAGTTGACTTCACCGACTCCAAGACATCTTTGGCAAGCATAACGTGCCTACACGTGCTTGCATCCTTGTTCTGGTATTTCACACCCATGGTCAACCGTTGGCTCTACCTGGCCTGGACATTGCTAGTTCAAGGGATTCAAAGTGGTGTCTTGGTGGTTTTGCCAGTTATGACTCTTCAACATTTTGGCCGAACCCACTACGTTAGTAACTATGGTTTGGTCTTCGGGAGTGGAGTTTTACTCAACTTAATCGCCCCCTTGTTTGTCTCAATAATCATACGAGAACTTGGTTATTTCTGGCTCTTTTTTACCATTGCCTTCACAAGTACGATTGGTCTTGCCCTGACTTTACGTCTTCCGTCGACAAAAAGATGAAGGCAGGAAATATTGAAAACGTTGGAAATAATATTTGCATTTGTGTGTTCTTTGCTTTGTTTCATGTTCCTCCTTTGGTTTTACTCGATTCTATTACTTTGTACATGCATTTTAGCGGTTTTGTTTTGTTTTGTTGTTGTTACATTATTTGTTTGTTTGTTTGTTTGTTGTTGTTTTTCTAAAGGGGGGAGGGGGTTAGTCATTTTTATCATAAATTAATGTTTCTATTTACTGTAGCACCATTTCTTCTTTGTTTTAAGATTTTTTATATTTTTGGGGGGTGATCGAAAATTACAACCCAAAGTTGGCATAAACGTTGATGGCTTTTTACTGCACTATTCTACGTAATTGTCTCTACAAAATAAAAGGTAAGAATAAGTATGCTGTTTGTCTCCTTGTTTTCTGTCATCCATTTCCCCAGCTCTCTCTCTCTCTCTCTCTCTCTCTCTCTCTCTCTCTCTCTCTCTCTCTCTCTCTCTCTCTCTCTC